GTAACATCACACTACTCTCTCACGAAAGAAGAGAACCAGTTGATTTGTAAAAGTTTATTAATTATTCGGTTTGAGTCATGCATAACAGTCCAACAGAATGCTGAGCTTTTAGGAATACAAACTCACATGTGCGAATATAGAAGAAGTAGTAGGAGTTCGGAAAACATTTTTTTTGTGGAAATATCGGCTATTTCTTTCGAAGAAATAACTGCACTTTGGGCAAGTTGGTCATGATTCGTAATCGATAACAGTTCCTACCTTGCCATAACAGGATCATGGCGATATCGGTAGTGCAATAGATTCGAAATGTGTGCATATATTGGTTCTAACCTGGTTCAGTGGAAACTCGAATTATTATTAATTCAGCGCATTATTGACTTTAATTTGGCTTCGAGCAGTTTACGATAAAGTAGTACCCTGTTTTCAACCTGTAAAAAAATATTAAGCGCCATCTGTAAAGAGGAACAAATAAGAACTGGAAAGATAGCTTTTATTAACCAAAAAAATATTTAGTGCATCAAGAAGCGTATTGGAAACACGAACACAGTCGTAGAATCCAGATGTTGTTGACGATATATTATTGATCAGAAATTTCAAGACATTTTTGATCTTTTTTTGTTGTCTTTTACTGCATAAATTAACTAATGAAAATAATTTACTTTATTAGGAAAAATTTTCGAACTTGAGTACTCATTTTTTGCAGTAATTTTTTCGCACGACAGGACAGAACGCGTTACGCAAAAAATATTGCAGGTTAGGACAGGTTACAAGGTTATAGGTTGTTAAAGTTTTTACAGGACAGGTTATAGATTATGAAAAAGTTGTAACCTGCAGGGTTCTAGTAGAGACCTACCTTATCTATGAAATAAGTTAAACTTCATTTTATGGTAGCATTAGCAAATGTGGATCCGAAATATGGTTAGTAGTAAACCAATCATTCAAACATAAATTGTGACAAACACGTATAACATTAATTAAATGGAAATATCGAAACTGCTCTTAGACACTCCAGTATCTGAATGTTTCAGAAGTATTTTCAACTTAACTGAAGAATAATCTGTGACGGCAGATTTATGCCACTTTATGATATTTATTTAAACTTTTATCATTCACGGGCTGAAAATTATCAGCCTTAAATTTCTTTGACAGATTCAGAGTTTAAAAATATGCACGCTCATGACGAAATCAGCTAGTCTGGAACCAAAATTTGACCGGTTTTACAATTTATCGATGTCTTAAATGGATCGGAGTTTTTCAAATTGGTGTTTTGTGGAGAACACACATCTTAAATACAATATTCACAAATCTAAAAGCACAAATTACACTACCTCCGAAGAATGAAAACTCGTATCAGATCAGATCTCATTTGCGACAGATGAAAAGCACGATCTGTTTTTTTGAACAACTTCTTTTATTGTGTATACTCTGAAATGCTTTTATGGTATTCATATCGTACGAATTCAAAAGCATAAAACGAAAATCTATGACTGCAACTAACCGTAGATTAATTATATTTAAACCAGTTACCAATATCTAAAACGGATCGAACTGGATATCTTCAATTTTCGATCATAAAACAATTCAAAAATAACATTTACTCTTCATCTTTTACTTTCTTGCTGCTTTTATATAGATGAAAATATTGCATAAACAGTTTTCTGTTTAGTCATAGCAAAGAATTATGAATGATCAGTAAAACAAAAATGCATAAAATGCTTATCATTTCCTTGTGCAAACGGCGTTCATATTTTCTGCATAAATTTTATTATTTTTTGCCACTTGCTCCACATGTTCTTAATCCCTTTTCTTTGCTGTAAAATAACAATAATAATAACGTTGTGAAGTAATCAAAGATATTTTCGGAGCCGAAAGAAAAACAATCGAATAAAAAAGAAAACAACAAACAACAAAAGGAAAAAATGTTTAACAATGAATAAACTGTAGTAAATAACTGATTGTTTTTGAGAAACGTTGAACTTCCACTGTTCTATGTTTATATTCAATAAAAAAGATGGAAAATAGTCATTCTTTTAATTAATATGTTGTTGAGAAATTATCCTACTAACACGTTTTAGAAAGAAAAGAAAAGAACAATAAAAACCGCAACATCTCGGTTTTTTTTCTTTTTCTGAATTTAGTAGTATAAAAATAATCCAACTACACACTTCGACAAAGAGGTCGAATATAAAATTGTACGAAAACATACACGGTTATAGTTCTTTGTTTTTCTTCTTCTTTGGATAACAATAATGTAGAGAGATATCAAACGACGGTAGATGTATTGTTGTTGTTGTTGTTCATGAAGTTATGTTATTTTACAATTTATCAAGATAATCATCCACAGGTGGGATACCTTCCTTGAGACCTTTTCGTTTTCTGATATCATCAACAATAGTTTTCAATTTTGATCCAGGTTCAAATGGATCTTGTGTCATCATTTGCCAATGATCAAACACACATTGAGGAAACGCTTGACCACCCGTATTAGAACGGAGATCAGCAGTAAAACCTGTAAAAATAGAGTCAAATATGTTTATGTACACAAATAACGAGCTGAAATTATGAACGTTAAGTTAAAAACAGTTTTCATCTCGATCTTTCTGATTAATACCATATTTTCTATTTCTTCCAAAGCAAACATAAATTGTGCTTTGCAGAGCAACGAGGTACAGTTATCTATATGAATCTCAGGGGGATCGGAGCAAAGTATTTTCATGAAATATCAAATGCTCAATATTTTCATCACAGATTCAACAATTACTGCACATACTTTAAAAAATTGATATCAAGAAAAAGAAGCAAACTTAAAGAACATTTCAAAAAGTTGATTCCTGATCGAAAAAACAAGTTGAACCTTTTCAAATGAATGAATAGCGGAAAAAGTGTTCTCTTTAAGAAATTATATTACTTTATATTCTACAATTGGTTTTACAGGTTTTTAAAAAGCTTCAAGGAAAAGATTTGTTAAACAATACTATTATTGTCGTTTTGTGATCCTTCATTCATTCACTGATTCTTGTAGTCACTCCTGTTGACCGACGAATCCATATTTTATCAGTCTTGTTTTGCATAACGCCATCTTCAACTATTTTGGGTTTGTTGGTCTAGAGACCTAGTCAGAATAATAATCGCTAGACTGTTGGTTACTTAGGCGAATATCAGCTCACGAAATGCAGTTGAGTGTTATGATCTCAAGAGACTTCACCATTAAGTTTGAGCGTTTAAAAATGGCTGTGCTAGTATTTCCTGGACTTATGGACAGAACGGATGTATTTCATTCACATATACTATGTAGAAGAATAGTTTATGTATTTAGATTCGATGGCTCGGCAAGATAGAGCAAAGTATGATGAATGTTATTTTCATCATCGTGGGTTCGATTATCGTCCGATTTTTTTTGTTTTGTTTTTCGCATTATTAAGAGACGTTTCCATCAAGGACCTCTCCTCGTCATTGATTCCGAAAACGCAGGTAGTGTTTGCTCTCTGATTAAAGTAATAGACTTATTACATTAAAAAAGTTTATTAATACGAATTTCAGCTTCTAAAATGCGGAGTAAATTAAGCGTAAGAACTCCTCTTCGAAGAATCCTGAGCAACCGATAAAAGAATATACACTGTAAATTAAAGAAGCATGAAAAACAAACAGGTTGGGATCATTGCTTGGAATATGTAGACTGTCGGGTAAAATTCACTAGTCAGACACGGTACTACTATGTAACTTCACAAGTTATAAGCTTTTCCTAAGGGTTCTAAAATACACTATTGAACACACAACGCCGTTTTATATTAAGAGTTTTTTGGCACCACTATTACTCAGATACATTTTTCTCACGATCAATGCTGAGTAGAATAATGAATTTTTTTGTGTGGAAGCCACTGAGTTAAATTTAGAAAGATAAACAGATGATTTTGAAAATCCAGATGAAACTGTTTAGCTTTAAACGACAACTATACTCAACCTGAAGTAGAGAGGAAATTCAACAACTGCCTCTATGTCCACTTATAGATTTCAGCCTTATAGAGTTCAGCCCTAAACCCTTGAAAGTTTGGAATAGCTTTCGCATCGAGTCGTCTGAAAGTGTAAATTCATCTTACGAATCTTACCGAATGATTCATTGACAGGTAGATAAGCTTTAACAATAAACATAGGCGTGCCGGTAACCTGATGTTCTTCAAATACATGTCCACGACGACGATTCAACACTCCATAAATACCACCAACAGCTGCTTCTGGACACTGAAAATAGTACAAAAGAAATGAAAATTCTAAAGCTAAAAAATTATAATTGACGGAATCTCCATCCGCTTGAAAAATCCTGGCGGCGTAAATGAGATATCAACAGTAGTCGCATTGATACAAAGAAAATATACCAATGTCATATTTTTGCAAAAATTATTTCCTTACAAACAAATCTCAATAGTTCTTAGAAAAACCTTCTCTAACGGAAAGCGAATCTAGAGCGAAATAATAACATGTTTCAGCACGTGCTAATATGTGAACGATAGAAACATATCGAATACATCTTGATTTTGTGAGAAAGTTCGCTATAGGCACAGTCGAACCGCTTTATACACACTGATCAGTGTATTTAGCTGGCCTAAAGACTTGCCACATCTTATCACTAACTGATAGTTGCTAACATACCTGTACTTCACATAGATAAACTGGTTCATGTAATCTTGGTTTAGCTGTTAACATACACGCATACAAAACACGTCTTGCTGTTGGAATAATTTGTCCACCACCACGATGAATAGCATCAGCATGTAATGTGACATCATGAATATCAAATCGAACACCACGTACATTTTCTTCGGCCAAAGGTCCTTCTTTTGTTGCCCATTGAAAACCAGCCACACAACTATCTTTAATCTCATTCAAATATTGTACTCCTTTAGTGCAATCCATAAGAATATTTGGACCAGTTCCTTCTGGACCGAAACACCAGATTTTACGTGCTTCATTAACATCGTACTCATATTTTTCATTCAAATATCTTGCACGCGATTTAAATTCTTGTCTTGGGGTTACTTCACCCTAAAAAATAAAACGGTTTTCAAGCAAGAATTTAACTACGACACACTCGTACAAAACGATTTTTCGTACTTTGTCGATATCTTCGGCCAATCCTAAGAAAAAAAACAACCGCATGAGATTATAAAGCTTTCTTCCAAAAGCGAACACTAGCTTTTCTCTTTGACTTTTACTCCCATTTTTAGCTGCAAATAGTCTGTCTGTTGATCCAGAGAAAGTACTGAAATATGAGCCCAGCTCTCGAATACGAAGGTTAAGACTAGCCACTACAGGCTGATAAAACAGCTGCAAAACGACTCTTCTATGACAGTAACGGCATCCAATCCACTACTAAGCTTTAGTTGTACGAGTTTTTCCTATTGTTTGAGCATTGGAGGAAGTTTTTTTCATAGAAACAAGATAAAAAAGATAAAACAACTAACCATCTGGCATCGGTCTGGCTTTCATATACAATCGATTGTGTTTATTCGGTGACTTTGATAAACACATAATATCTGATTCGTCTGATACTGTTTCACGATACGATACAACTGGATCAGAAACTTTAATTGGTATACAAGCATGATCTTCTTCCAAATCTTTCAAACAGATTTCCAAATGCAACTCGCCAGCACCAGCCACGATATGTTCACCTGATTCTTCAATGATACACTAAAGAACATCATAATAATATTAAATTATATGAGCTTCTAGACTAATCATCCCACTTACTTGAACCATAGGATCTGATTTGGCTAAACGTTTGAGACCTTCAACAAGTTTTGGTAAATCAGCTGGATTTTTTGGTTCGACAGCAACACGTACGACTGGACTTACACTAAATTTCATGACCTGCATAACAACAAAAAGAAAATATTTAACAATATATCGGAAGATTATGTAAAACATACACGTAAATTATGAGCATTCTCGAACGTTGTGATCGTACCAGTTTTAACTAAATACTGATCAACTCCAACTAAACCACAAATATTACCACAGGGTACATCTTCAATTGGTTCAGTATAACGGCCCATCATGAGGATGGTACTGAAAAGAGATGATAAATATTAAAAATTAAAAAACTAGCATTACAAGTCAAAACCTTAACACAGTCACTCTTATTTAAGTTAGAAAGTCTGTCAGATATTCATTATCCGTCAAAGACGGAAGATCTATGCACGATAAATCGTTTTTTTACGCATAAATAGTGTTTTGGAAGCGAAACTGTCTAAATGAACTTTTATATACTTCAGTTCGTAAAGCAATCCCATTCTACTACACTCGTACACAAAGAGCACAGGCTCTTCATACAATAATTGCAAGTGAAAGAGATCGAATACATACCGTTGAATATTTTTAACGTAGAGATCTTCTTTTTTGCCTGGTACATAATTAGGTCCCATAATTCTTGCTTTTTGTCCCGTTTGTACACAACCAGAAAAGACACGACCAAACGCATAAAATCTTCCTTTATCTGATGTCGGTACCATTTTAGAGATGTACATCATTAATGGTGCAAGTGGATCGCATCCTTTTATTCCAAGAAATGCTTCGTCATCTTGTGGACCTTTGAAATAAATACATAATGAAGTGTCTGATATAAACGTAAAGAAAAAAGACGATATAAACGTACCCTCATATAATAATTCAGCACGATAACGTTGTGCAACCATTGGCGATGGTAAATGTAAAGCAATCATTGTCAATAGAATATCACCAGCTGGTAACCACTGTTTCATAACTAATTTCAACAATGGTTTACCACCTTCTTCTAATTTTTCTTTATCATCACCAGATATTTTAATACTTAATTTGTCTAATAATGCTAAGTATTCTTCTTTCTTACAGTCCATAATAGCACGAAATACTTTAAATATTGGATCTAATATAAATTGATTAAAACCACGTACGTAACCTTCACCACCAGATTTTGCCCATTTTTTCTCCGATGGACTGAAAAAATTATCACCCCATAAACGTTTCATTAATTTGTCCGGTTCAATTTTAAATTTTGCCGAATACATTTCAGCAAATTCTTTCAATGTAAATGCCCATCCATGCAAGCCAGCCCCAAAGCCTACTGTACCTTTTGTTGGATCCACCTAAACAACAAAAATAAGATACATAAATACGATAAGGCAGTTTGTATGCATGCTGGCTATACGAAAAATTTTGTACTTTAGTCTTTTTCATTCTATTTAGACAAGCTATATTTACTTGCTATAATAGTATATTGGACACTAGTACTTTTTTTAATATATAAATACATGAAAAAATTAAAACTAAACTATGAACTTTATGGTCTCACGTTTTCGAGGCGGACGGAAAAGCAATTATTGGTATAAGTGCTACTTCGAAAGGTTTGCTGAATGTAAATATCACGGATTTCACCTGAATTTCACCCATTGGACCACCGTCTTCACCGTAGGTGGCAATAATAACGTTGACATTTTCAATAATGCGTTGAAATGTTTGATATAAATCTTCTTGTTGTAACTGTAATTCTAATAGAGCGCGATCCATTTTATTCATAAATAATATTGGTTTAATTCGTTCAGCAATAGCTTGTCTCAATACGGTTTCTGTTTGTACACAAACACCTAAAACAAACAGACGAAAATGCTTTGCTTTTGACAATTTCAAACAACCAACAATCATACCCGAAACACAATCAACAACGACTAATGCACCATCGGTAACACGTAAAGCAGCTGTAACTTCCGATGAAAAATCTACGTGACCAGGCGAATCAATTAAATTGATTAAGAAATGTGCCTGATCTGGTTCACGTTCTTGTTTAATAAATACTAAATCTTTAGCTGGTAATTCATAATAGAGTGAAATAGCACTAAAACAGAGACCAAAACACAAATAGTTAAAGCGAAATGACATAAGTAACCAACTTACGTTGATTTAATTGTAATACAACGTTCTTGTTCATCTTTACGCGTATCTGTAAAACGCATTTCACCGGCTTTTTGTTGAGCAATGATGCCAGCTTTGCACACGAGAGAATCTGTTAATGTTGACTTTCCATGATCGACATGAGCAATAACAGACATATTACGAATGTTACGCTTTTTGTCCATAAGGGCACGAATCTCGTCAACTGTGAAATGTACCTGTTGAAGAAGAGTATATTTCTCAGAAAACGTTCAGCAGAAGTTCCAAAGATCTACACATATCACGCAAAAGAGAAGAACTTACCATTTTTAATTTCTACTAGATGTGCAACTTGCTGGAAGGATATTTATTATTCTTAAACAGAAAATTGGAAAATAAATTATTGTAAGATATTATTCTTTGATGCAATACTACGAAGAGCTAAGACTGTACGAAAACAGCTAAGAACCTATATCATATGAGATTGCACAATTACACAGTCATCAACAGTCTGTACGTAAACGAGAAAGAAAAAAGATAATATAACGAATACGTTAAGGGCCACAACAGCCTGTTATGGCTTACAGATGCATAAGTGCATTATGCATAATATTTTGGTGATAAGATGCGGACGGAAATAGGCATATAATTTAGTATTACTATTTAATACTCTCGTTTCGTCTTGGTGGTTAGTATTAATACTACTAACACTAATAAAGCTCGCGACACCTGACGAACGATAGGTATAAGATTGTCTGAATAGAGAAAAGCAAAAAGGACTTACGAGTTAGAAAAGTAAATGTTTTCAAAAGTTCTCTCTCTTTAATGTTAATACGTAGAAAAATTACGAAGCTCTTTTTCATCCGAAATTTTTGAACAGCTTTGCCTCAATATAAATTAAGGAAAGTAATTTTATGGACTATAGGATATGTCCATGTCCACATCCATCATTACATCGACTTTGAGCGTAAGCGAGAAGATCTGGCTTTCAGTTCAATGGACTTCCGAAGTTTCGATCTTTCGGCATAGACTCTATACGGTCTATTCCGATCGAGTCGATCGCTGTTTGTGATCTTTGATGAACTTTTCGTCGTTCTATACAATGAACACAGTTATATCATACATTTGCTGCTTTTAGGTCATATAATCACGAGAATAGCGTGTGGAAGTGCTCTCTAATCTGTAGAATTACTTTGCTCACTTGATTTATGCACATCGTAGGGGACAGATGGGCAGCTCCGACTCCGTAGCGGTCCCGCTTCACGGAGCTAGGTCCGCTCATGGAGCGGATCTGAGCAGAGCGGTTGATAAAAATCATGAAGTCGGAGCGGAGCGCTTCGTAACAACTATAGAGCTGGAGCAGAGCCGGAGCGGCTCTTTCTTTTAGCGCTCCACCATAGCTCCATTTTCTCCTTCGTGTTCTGTATACGATGATAGATCCGTGAGTCAGAAGAAAGCTTATCGTTGACTATTCATCGCAGTCGATATTTCTTTGTCGTATTTATAATCAGTCGCAGTAGCGTACCTTTCACATCCGCTCCTGTGGAACGTGTGTTTTCTTCCGGTGGGATGTTCAAGCGATCCCACGTCAGCCAACTCTCTAAGAACATACTCGCTATGTTGACTCTATTCAAATGCAATCGACACTCCCCTATTTCCACTAGTCTTATTTCATGCTGTAGATCAAACTGTGGTCTAAAACTATTGTGCATAAAAATTTTCGTGTTGATCTTCGGTATATGTTGTGAAAGAGAATATGAACCCCGCGGATCATTGCAAAGCTACTTCAAAGAAATGCGAAAAATGTGCTTTTCCAATAAGATGAAAACTATTTTTAGCTGGAGCGAAGTCGGAGCAGAGGTGGAGTGAACGGGAGTGAAGTTAGAGCGCAGCTGAGGTGGAGTGAAAATTTACTGCTTGGAGCGAAGCTAGAGCGGAGCGGGTGCAGAAACTTTCTTTTTGGAGTAGAGTCGAAGCGGAGCGACTCAAAAATGCCTGGAGCGGGAGCGGAGCTGGAGCGAGAAAGAGTCGGAGCTGCCCATCTCTGGTAGGGAAGATCGAGCTTTTGTCCGAACGCTTGTTTATAAAGAGACTGCTCCACTTTTTAACTATAACACAGGAGACGTATATAAGGTAAAAATCATTTAAGAAATCGGTTCGTTTAACGAAAAATTGAGTTTGCTTTTAACCACCACCAACAAGACATTGTGCTTATAATTTTGCTTTTTTCTGGCTGGAGGATGAAATTGCAAGTTTTCAAAATATTTATGTTATTTCCAGCGATTATTTATTAGTTTTATTCCGTTATTTTATCCAAAAGTGTTTAAAACTACTGCAACAACTAGCTTTTTTCATTGTGAACGCCATCAAACCATAGAAATATATTCGACCTGTTTCATGATTAGATTGACCAAAGTATCCTGTTGGAAATGGGAGTCAAATGAGAGCTTTATTCTCCACGATTTAGGCGTGATGTTGAATCATGTAGTAGTTCCAGGAGTGGCATCTATTGACTTCTGAAAAACTCCAAGACAACTGCAACTGTTTGACACGATTCATATTTATCGGAAAAGCTTGAGAAGTTTCGTGTACGTCTAAAATATACAGTGCTAGACTAGTTTTACTATAAAAATTTATATCTCCACCACAACCGATCCGCAACTACAATATTTAAAGATATACGTAGTTTGGATTATTCTATATGATGAAAGTGCAAATAATCGACAATTTCTACACTGTTTAGAGAACGGGACTGAAAAGCGAACGATATTGAAAGATATTTTTTCACTGTATGTGTACAGTTCTAAAGTAGAATTTTTCATACGCACGCTTCTTCACATTTACACATCGATACGTAAACGGTAAAAGAACCATATTCTATTCGTAGATTGCCATTGTCCGGTTTTTTATCGACAATGAAGAGAATGCTGATAGACTAGTGTGAAAAATTGACTGTGGCTGGGTTTTCGCAAAATGTTGTTATAAGTACAGAATTAGGAACATTAGCACTAAAATGGTCTCAACATGTTATCAAATATGCGACTCCAATTCCATGGAATATTTTTGAAACGGTTATTCTTACATCACGTCCAATAATGAATATCTAAGAGGGGATTAATTGTTTTGGTAACAATGCATTTTCCTCATTCAATCATTTTAAGATATGGTATGAATCTGCTCACATAGTTTCGGTTCAACAAAACTTTTGTTTGTACAGAATACGTTTGTAAAGATACAGTTGGACTTGCAATTGCTTTTGGCTATCATGTAATCTCAAAAGATCATATGCCTTTAGGACCAAAAAAACGTGTTAGACCAAAAAAAAGCTAGTCTTGCTCTGCTTTTTTGAACTATCATATATACTTGCATTTTTTTGCAAGTAATGCAAGATATATATAGATAATAATTCACTATTCGAACATATGACCGTTCTCTTTTCAAATTTTTGAACTTAAAATTCTGAACCGTTCTCTTTTCAGCACTAATTCCGTTCTCTTTTCGGTTTTTTCGTTTTATAATTTTGACCGTTCTCTAACCGCTTCAAATTTGACTATAAATAGGCAACCGTTCTCTTTTTAGCCTTAATTCGGTTCTCTAAAAAATCCTTGTCCATAAAATATCAATACAAAATTCAATTTTCATTTTTTTTATATCTAGTTTTAATTGTTGATCAAAATTATGAAACAAAATGTAGATGTTAGAGAGTTTGAATCAACATGTACAATAGTTGATGGAAGCAAACATAAATGTAATCATATGTATACATATGTGAGCGATAACACTCAATCAGTAAATAAGGGAGCGTGTCAAATATTGAGAGATAATTTTTTCGCTCTTGTTCTCTCGTTTTTTTTACGGTACACAGAAAAAAAAAACGTTAACCATTAGTGAAAAAAATCAGAGATCATCGTAGATAGAGCCAAGACAATAATCATCAAGAATGAGAAGAGATGAGAACATATACGATAGGTTATTACTTTGACAATATCATTAAAAAAGGAACACGTTCAAATGATGGTTATAGATTAACAATTAAATAAATAACCAACACGCTTTTTTTTCTTCTTTGATTCAATTCGATTTAGAATAATACTGTCTTTAATTAGCGTAATCATTTGTTTTATTACATAACGACAAAATAGAAAACTTTTTTTCTGTCAATATCATTTATAAATGTAAATTCCTGTTGAAAATTGTTAAGTAAAAAAGTAGTACTCTGTTTATGTAAGTATAATTTCATTTGACTCAAAATTATGCAAGGTAGATTGCTCAGATAGTTGAAATATGTGAGAAAGTTTTTTTTACAAACAATTTATCTCAATCACCGTTTCTTCCCTTGAAAAATGTTTAACAGCATTATTGTGTAGTCTCGTTGATTCTTCCATGTTAACAACTAAACAATAGTAAATAAAAACTAAAATTCTCGATCATCTAAAGCCTCTTTTATATTTTTCTTCTTCTTTAAAAAGATTTTTATCAATTTTTATTTCATCATATTTGAATATTTCTATACTTGTTGTGTATTCTTCAGCTAACGTTCGCTAATGAGTAGTTTGCCAGACAAATTCTAGTTCGTCTATAGTAATGTCTGATTTCCTTGAAAAGTGGATGATTATTATTCGTACGATATATCGCAACAACTGTCTAGTTTTTGTAGAGAAATTGAGCAATAAATTTTTTAAATGATATAATCACGTTAATTGAACAAACACCTTTTTCTTTGTTTCTAAAAATGGTAAAATTAAGAATTAAAAATGTTTAAATTCATTTTATTTTAAGATTTTTCTACTGTATGACAAAAATCCCAAAACTAGTTTTTTATAGGTTTCTCGATGTGCCCTACAATCGAGACAGACCAGAAAAAAGTTTTGGAACAAAAAGTTTCTGACTCTGGAAATCTGGTTTCCCAGAAATCCGGTACTCACAAGGCCTAGCGGCCCGTCTCATGCCGATATTCGGACTCAGCACTATTTTTTACCTATACTCCACTAGATTTCATTAAAAAAACGATTGATCAGTTACATATGTTCCCTCGTTAGTGAGACCAAATCTCATAACTCAGGGAAAACATTTTCAATCGAAAACAAATTCTAGAATATATGTAAATTGACGAACTCTAAAACATATTTTAAAATAGATGGAAGAGAGAGTTTACCGTTCAACTATATAAAAAGGATATGTTCTTGCTTTTTGATTATATCTCTATCGTACATACAACTCAAACAAATCTTTTTACTTCATGAAAATAATTAGGATGAATCAGTAAATAGTCTATTAGCCTATTTCTCTTTCATACACAAAAAATACAAAAAAAAAGTATGATGTGGAAATGACTTTTTTTTGCTCTTATCAGTAAAGTAGATGAAATATAGAAACTTATTGACATCTACTTAGCACTAATCCATACATAAAAAGAAATGAACAACTGTACTATTCTCACACTAAGATAATGCTAAAAATTTAAAATTTGTCCAATCACTACGTAATACAGATTTTGAGCTTAAAAGACTCTTTTAAACTTTTCTAAAAGAAAAACCATGAAATAAAAAGTATTTGTTGACTTGTATGAATTAAATATAACTGATGTATAAAAACAAACTAACTATTGTAATTATATAAATGACTCCGTTGTTAAGAAACAGGCAAGATCCAAACAGAAATTGTATTTATCCTTAATGGAATGATTATAGTATATAGAGAAGGTTGAGAAATTGTTTATATTATATTCGTCATATTATCTTAGTTTCTACATGATGTACATCAATTATTTTTTTGATTTAATGAAAATCATTTAAATACAAGGGGATTTCTTTTGAGACATTTAAATATCTTAGTTAAGCTGTAAATCTTAGAAAAGAACTTTCAGACATTGTTTTTATGCACAGCATACAAATAGTACCAACCGATAAAATATTATTTATTTTTTTTTAATAAATTATAATTTTCATTATGTTTTAGATAATTCAATTATTGATGCATTGAATCTAAACGAATACCAAGGTTTTCACTAGAGACGATATTACATGGATCATTTAGAACGAGTAAGTCTCTAAGTTTTAGTAGAAATTATGAATCATTTACTTATGTGAAAATGTAGCTACGTATATTTAGAAAAGTAAAATAAATAATTCAATCACTATGTTCACGTTCAGAAAAACGTGAAATTGTTTTTGATTCTGCTGGTGTATTTCTCTGCATTTCTAATTGAATAATTTTTCTTGCTGATTGAGAAGCCGGTGCTGCTCTCAATGGTGGTGATGGATGTTGTTGACGAACTGGTGAATACGTTCTATTTTCTGCTTGTGGTATTGATTTACTTTTTTCATTAACATTTACTGGTCGTCTATGATAATCTATTTCAGTATTTTGTGTTAAGACGGCGGGAAGAACAGTACGAATAGAATTTCGACGTTTAGGTGGTTTATGATTCATATTTTGTTTGTTTGTATTGTTGTTACTGACATTCTTCCATGTTTTGACTGGTATTGGATCATCCATAACAATGACAGATGATGCTGATGAATCGTTTCTTTGCGATGGATAGGGTCCAGAATTGTTTACTTTATTTAATGATGTACGACGTGTTGATGGCAATATTTTCAACTGTTGTTGTTGCTGTTGTTGCTGAATGGGTTTCGGTGGATGTTCATAAACTTCATTCAATGATGAAAAACCTTCTCTACTACCTGGTTTCTTATTAAATACATCGGGAAATGTTGTCGTTACAGAGGGATCAACACGATTTTCATATAATTCTGGTACTAAATCAACATAATCAGTTTTTAATTTGTTCCATTTTTCTGTACGTTTTATTTTCTCAGCATGACGATTAATTAATCGAATACAGGCTTGTTTTAATTCCAATGTGTTTGACTCATGTGCACATATCAAAAATTCAATGGCATTTTCTATCGTTAAACGATATGATAAAAATTCACTTATTTGTTTTTTTAATTTTTCTAATTCAAAACGTTTTGATGCTAACAATAGATTTGGAGCATTTTTTAAATCAATATGACAACGATTTGTATAGATATAATTTAAAATTTCATTCATAGTATCTGATGATATATCATCAATATTCATTTGTAATATATAATCATCATTTGAATTTGACTCGTGATTTTCACTTATTAAATTACGAAACCACGTTGAACGACCACCTATAATAAAAAATGAAAATATTTTTATAAATATTTGTATTCTGTACTTGATGTACGACTCACCTAATATACATCGGTGTACTTTCAATTTAACATCATCTTGACAAACAATAATTGTATCAAAAAATAAACCCTGTTTTAATACTGTAAATAGATCGCCTTCCAATTCATTTAATGCAAGTGAATTACGTTCATGTTCTATTTGATTATTAGCCATTGTTGGATTTACATATGGAATATTATCACTATGAGTAAAACTAGTATTAAATTTTGTTTGAGATGAGAGTGTATCATCAAATCCAACATTTTGATCACGTTTTGTTCCATATTGATCAATTGTAATACCTGATGCACCCGTAGATGAATCTGTCAATGATAAAAAATGTTGATCATTTTGACCCAAATTTTGAATACGTAAATGATAATAAAGACGTTCACGTTTACAAAATGTACGCATTGTAAATGAGAAACTATTACAAAATGGACACAATGCTCGAAAACGAATACGACCCATTGATTGTTGAGGATTATGTTGTTGATGATTATATGAGAATAGAGTAGCTGGTGCCAATGATGTTGATTTTTTATCATTGTTTGGATATGTGTTGCTATTATTATTATCATTATTATTTCGTTGTTGAATCAACATTTCATCACTTAATTGAAACGGTATCAACGAATGACATCGATCACAATGAAGTGATTCAAATACTAAATTACCGTAACAATTACAAACCGTTTGAATTGAAATATACATGATTAAATTAAAACTATTGATAAAATTTTGATAAAAAATAGTATATTGCTCTAAAATCAGAAAAATTGATCAAGATGTTCAATTAAATTTCTGCTGGTAATATTAATACTCGTCGATCTATATATAAAATAATTAGTAAACTTTATGGTAGCGACGAAAAATAACAGAAACAGAAAAAAAGTGTTTGTTAAAAACATAAAAATAGAAGTTTTTATGCTCATCGTGTGTATCACTAGACAATTATATATAAATTTCTATGTGTTTGTTCAAAAACAAACAAATCATCAGTAATTTATTAGTTTTTTTTATACGACTGTTTTGAGCTCATACGTTGTTACTTACCAAATTATTTACTTTACCTTTATTTCAAATTAATATTATAGACTTATTTTGTTTGTTAATAATAAACTTATATGGTATCGTTTTTTTCTTTCTGAGAGTTCTATACAGAGTTAATTAATTGTCTGAATATAAAATATGTTTGAAATGCAAATTAATCACATGTCCACAAGTCTACTTAAATAAATGTTCTTCAGTATTTGAGAATACAATTTTTGTTATCTTGGTGTAGTTTAAATTTTTCATTCGATGAATATTATGACAAGTTTTTATTGAGTTAAATAGGAAGAAATTTCTAATATATATTTTTTTTTTCAAAAATAATTTTTCGATTCAGAAGAATGAAATAGTACATATAATTGCATACCAACAATACCAGTCTGATCTATTTTTTGAAAGTAGATCATTTATTTTAAAAAAAAAGGAACAAATTAATGGCAACTAGCAGCTCATTTTAAAATATAATCTACAGCATAAGTTATAAATAATTTCATTCATTTACTTCGTTTTAAAATGATGAAAAGCCTTTCAGTTCTTGGATGTTTACTGATCAACTATCTAAACAGATTTAACCGGTAGCTTACTTAGGCATACTTTTGAGTAGTTTAGAAAAACCTGTGTTGGAAACAGGCGCTATCGACTACTTTTACTGGTTAAATTGAGATAGACCTGCAAATTATGTATAAGAAGCGTTACTCATTAATGCTCATTCGTTCAATAATACAATGATCACAACATAAAGTTATTTACGATGGACGTAATCGTGATACTATGCATAGTACTAACTACTTCAAAAGAGAAGGAAATACTTGCAGAAAATATTTTACTTCTAGCAACGAATCTAAACTATGTTGTTTATTAGTCATTTTGTGAATATCTATTCTCAGAATAACATTAGAAACTATTGTTTTATATTAACTATTATATTATATTTTTGTCTGCTTGAGAAAAGCCTACTCTCTATAAGCTAATTTAATAAATCTTGGAACACAAAAAGTTGTTCTAAGGAGCTTAAACCAACTACCATCTGTTTCAAAATATAGTTCAGTCCAATGTTTTTTTGACAACGTTTGAACAGAAAAAGCTAGCGATCTGTGGCTTTTAGTTTCGTAAAGTAGAAACCTCAGGACATCAATCTATGAAGGAATTAGATTTTCCGAACAGGTTTACCGTGTTGCCTTTTCGAGTGAAAAAGCCTGTCCTTGACATTCCAAAAATCTATATAGTGAGGTGCTGATCTAAATCCACGTGGATATAGAACACATGTCGCTCTATAATCTAAGTTTCAGGTCTTCATCTGCCGTGGTTCTTAAGCTACAGGCAATCTACGGCGACTTACCTATCGGCTAAATCTGAAGTCTGGAAACCTTAAAAAAGGCATGAAACATAGGGTTTGAGGCATACTAAATCTCGTGGCAATGTTTGTTTTGCTGCTCGAATTAACGAAACTGTGAAAAATGAGTTTTCAAGAAAATTCAATTTTTTCGCGATGACCGTACTAAAATAAAAAGCTTCTAGCGCCTTCATTTTTCAAGCAAATTGCTTCACACTTTCAAAACTCACTCACGAGGAATGATTCACAACTGTCTAATCACTTTTGACGTAAAAACTAGTGGACCATAGGTAATCGATGATCCTGAATCCGAATCTGGTCTTGGTTTTTCTCGCTAGGCCTTGCAGATACCGATTTCTGGAAAACTGGTTTTTCAAAAACTCTAAAAAAATAACCAAAACCTTTCTTAATCAGGCATGATTGTAACCCGGAAATTTCTGATTAAAATGAGACTCTTCTAGTTCTACACGACCTTTCTTTGCAAAGTTATAGAATTTACAAGAAAAGCCCTAAATGTTCATTGTCAGCTCAAAGCTACAGAAATAAGACGAAATCAATTTAGGACTTTTCTTGTAAATTCTATAACTTTGCAAAGAAAGGTCGTGTAGAACT